TAAAACCATGGGGCATGTTTTATTCCCACTCACGTCAGGACCTTTTCTACTCCCAATGGTCACAGTCTGGCCTCCCTAAAGTCTGAAAGACAGTGAACTGGCCCTTTGTTTAGAGACCCCTGGCCTAGGTGAGCGCAATGGAAGTAGGAGCGGGTACCTGTCAAATTCGGGTACCCCCCCTCCTCCCTGCTCCCCAAAAGGTGCCAATCCTTAACGGGGAGCAGGGGACAAAGCCTTAAAGCGGAACTTCCCCTTGTGGGTGGAGATCCACTTTAAGTCTCTTGAGAGGGGTACTGAGGCAGGGTGCTGTGATGTTTTCAGGAATCTATGTACAGCACCCCGTCGACCCTCTCCCACTAGCCATGATCTGCCTGCATTGCATAGAGAAACCTAGAGAAAATCAGCGGTTATTGAATACTATCAAAAGAAAGTTCTATCCATCTCAAAACAAAATGATTAGGGTATAGTTTTGCAAGACAGAGTAATTGTCGGTCAAACGATCACAAAACTGAAAAATGGCCTATAATGGAGTATTACAGGCTGGTACTCAAGTGGTTAAATATCAGCTTCAGGGTGGATAAAAATCAATGATTTTTTTTTTTTTTTTTTTAAATTTTGTTTTAAATCGGATTTTTTTTTTATTTAAATCAGATTTTTTTAAATAAAATGCTTTTTGAGGAAAAATTTATTACCATCCAAAGGTTATTCCATCATGAAATAAAGATTAGTTTTTTAATTATGTAGAAGAAGGCTGTATATGTTTAATTTTTTAAAAAATAAATTCCATGAATCCATTCACAATGTCATGCTCTTCCAGAGGTTTTTGTAAGATTATTGGGCAGTTTCTCTGCCTACAAGATGTTATCACAGATGTTCGGTTTACTTTTGCAGTTCTCAAAACTGAATTTGACTCAGCGGAGATCACATGCCTCTTCTTCACAGCAAAAATGTTATAACATGAACAGAGTTAAGAAAAAGACCTTCATCCTAACTTCTACAAACCTATGAATACAGAATCAACCCCTTCAGTGATCAGTTTCAAGAAGTTCAGTGAATAGAATAGAAACAATATTTTTCTGATTGTTTGGAGTGGAATAGATCTGCACAAGAAGAAAGTGAAGCTAAGTGTGAGGAGGAAGGGGCTGACAGTCTAAGTTTCTGAAAATATATATATTTTGTTTAGCCAAATTAGTTACCAAACATGGATGTTTAAGCAAATAACATATGCTGGAATGTTATTGTTTCAGTTGAATAAATCTATTTAAATTGTTATTATTAAGGTAATGATTATTTTTCTCCTTCCTAAGTACAACAGAAAAGTTGTCCAAATATGAATGATTAACCTATTAAACTGGGGATAAAAAAACTAATATGAAAAGTTGTTATTCTAAAAATCTTCATCTACTTGTATATTAAAGTTATACCAGCAAGAATGAGTCTTTATGTAGAAAACTAGGATTTAAATCAAGCCTTACTGACTAGTGATTTAAATCGTGATTTAAATCAGTTTGATTTAAATCAAATCCACCCTGATCAGCTTTGATTCTGTTTTTTTTTTTTTTCATCTGTCAACACACATAAATCCTGTACATGGCCACACCTGCATCAGAGAGACAATGCCAGAGAGATCATATTCAATCTCCAACAGGGAAGCTCCGGCACTTGGCTGAAACATGCAGATTCGTCAAAAATGTACGCAGCAAAGCCCTGCTGATAACTTCAAAATGAATGTGGGGCGCTGAGCACAGTGCCGCGGCTGAGACGGAGCTGTGATCAACTCAGACTGCTATGAGGAACCTGCAACACCAGCAGAGATGTCCTGCGGGTCTCATAGCCCTGGTATCATAACACTGGAACATGCGTGAATTTGTAAAAATATTTGTTCACGTCAATCTGCTCTACCACGTGTCGGTTGTACGTCATCTCCTGACTGCAGGGCCTCATGGCTATTAAAAAGTCCTGAGTTTTTAAAGTATATGTGAACCCTCACCTTGTAAAACAACCCAGTTTAAAATAGAAAAGAAACGTAAAACATTTGAGTATATATATATTAACCACTTCAAGTCCGGACACTTTTACCCCCTTGCTGTCCAGGCCAATTTTCAGCTTTCAGTGCTGTCGCACGTTGAATGACAATTGCGCGGTCATGCAACACTGTACCCATATGAATTTTTAGCATTTTTTTGAGACAGGTAAAGCTTTTTTTTGGTGGTATTTATTCATCGCTGGGATTTTTTTTTTTTTTTGCTATATAAATGAAAAAGTCCAAAAATTTAGAAAAATGTGTTTTTCTTATAAAATGTTGCAAATAAATAATATTTCATCATAAATCTTGGCCAACATTTTTTCAGTTATCTTTTTAGTAAAAAAACAATAACCCAAATTAGTTTATAAGCAAAAATTATTTAAAAAAAAAATGTAAATTTTTTTTTTTTTTGGTTTTTTTTTTACATACTGTCACCCTAGCGGTACAGTGTCACCATGGTGACACTGTACTATTTGTGGGGGGTTATGAAGATTTTTTTTTTTTACACTGATTGCTTTTACACCCATAAAGGTTGTAAAAGAAATAATTTCTCCTTCTCTCTGGCTGCATTATTGCAGCCATTGAGAAATACTGTGTGAGCTATGAGTGGTCACAGCTTGTCACATGGTACAAGGCTGTTGTGACTAGCCTTGTACCATGTGATCATTCAGATATTTCAACAATCGGTGTTCCACTGTGTCCAGAGGACACAGTGGGCACCAGTTCGCAGTGCTGCACGCTCTGGGAGCGCACACAAGCAGGGCCGGGGAGGACGTTTATAAACGGCCACCTGTGCCTGCACTGCCACCGTCTGGCCGTTTATATACAATGGCCGGACGGGAAGTGGTTAAAAAAAAACACATTATAAAATACCCTTTCCCCCCCTTTTTTATTAGTCATCACATTCCCTCTGTTTTCATCTGCATAAGGAGCTTAGAGAGGTGGGGGGAGGAGAAGTAGCAGCACACTGATCTTCCCAGTGAATGGCTGTGCAGGGAAGGGAGGGTGTCAGGGAAAGTCTGATCATTAGAGCAGAGCAGACAGAGTTCCCAGCACAGCTATAGAACTGACCATGCTGCGCTCTCATGCCTAGTGTGATCAGTTTTTAATAGGAAAGCAGAGGGGCTGGCAGGAACACCAAGGATTTTACACAAATGACGAAATACAAAGAGAACAGGGCACTTTTGCATACAAGTACATGGTACAGGAGGCACATACCAGGAATATGAAATGTCAGGCTTACATATTCTTTAAATCTTCTTCATAACATTCTACAAGGGGTATAAAAGGAACACTCCAGTCAAAGTTAAAGGAATCAACATGGAGACATACACATGGAGAAAGCCTAGATGAGGACTACTGCTTTGTATTCTGGCATTGCTTGTGTGCACCAGGCCAATCCATGGTCTCTGGTGGCCAGTGGTCTGATGTTCTGAGAACACCTATTCCTGTGCTCAGGAACAAATTCCCAGCTCCACCCATCAGTCTTTCCGCATTCAGATCCTCCCAAAAGCCCCATACACACTTTGAGAATATTAGACAAAATAATCATCCTTTTTTTTTTTTTGCATGCTAGTCTCATATCGAAAGTGAAAGGTTTTTAAAGTTACAAAAATTCTTGTACAACAGAAAGAAAATTCGGATGTGATGTCATGTATTTGTATTGTATTTTCAGAAGAAAACTGTGCTGATTAAACGAAAATCGTACGATCCGATATCGTCCGAAAAACATTTTTTGTGCTTGTCCCTTCAAATGATATTGGATGAAAGCTGTGTACTAACGATCAGATGATCATACGATCGCTTCGAACGCGATATTGTTCATACGATTTTCTGATCATGCGTACTAGGCTCAAGACCAGAATCCCTCTGCTTGTTATGTTTCCTGCGGAGAAAGGGAGTAGATAAACTGAACGGTTGGGGGCTTGTGTGCAGCCTCTTGTCAGATTCCTCGGTGAGACCCAATGTGGGCCGGTGGAATCAGCAAACATTTGTTCCAAATTTACACAAGCCTGGCTTCGTGACCATTAAAAAAAAAAAAAAAAGGATGGAGGTTGGGTGCTGGACACAGATCTTTAACCCATAATGTTACATAGTTAGTCTGGCTGAAAAAAGACAAAAGTCCATCCAGTCCAACCATAGAAAAAAAAAAAAAATCCTATACCCACAGGTGGCCCTAATGAATGTGAAATCATTAGGTTTGATTAACAGCTTAGCTTGAGCAGCTCTCCACAAAGTGAGGGGGTCCTGAAAGACATCGTTCACCCAAATTGAGAAGTCCACGTGAAAAGAAGAAAAAGAGAGAGCGCCTAACGAATGTCTCAAGACTCAGAGATCCTTTACTGGTATTATCATGAGTAATACCAGGACAGCAAAAGACTTCCAATGCTTTTCGGAGACCATGTTCAGAGAAAATGTGCCTTTGTCAGGGCAAAAAATTGTCTATTTGACTCCAAGGAGAAGCTCCTTGATATAAATCTTGGCAAGGACAAAGAATTAATATACAATGGAGCCTGCATCTATGGCTGGGTCATCCCTTTCTGCCACGTTGTCCAAACCCCAATGAAGGGAGATTTTGGTGTCCAAAACATGTTGGATGACATTTGCCTTCCTATTGTTATGTGTGATAACAACAACAGAGGATCTTGGACTCTTGAGAGGACTGATTGGCACTCTCTCTTCTCATGTAGACTTCTCAATTTGGTTGACCCCTATCTTTCAAGTCCCCCCCCCCCCCCCACACACTTTTTTTGTAGAGCTGCCAAAGCCAAGCTATTAGGCATAACTAGTAATTCCTCCTTCTGGGATAGGCAGTCCAGTTCACAGCAAAATAGTAAACAGCAAATCCAGCTGAATGGGAGGACCGCCAGGGTGAGCAAGAGATGGTCAAGCACGGTGGACATGGTACAGCAGATAGTCAACGACTGCAAGCATGATAGAAAAGATGCTCAGAGACTGGGAGATGGCACACAGGATGGTCAGAGACTGTAGACATGATATAAGAGATGGACAAAGAGGGCAAACATGATACAAGAGATGGTCAGACACTGTAGACATGATACAAGAGATGGTCAGAGACTGCAGACATGATACAAGAGATGGTCAGAGACTGCAGACATTATACAAGAGATGGTCAGAGACTGCAGACATGATACAAGAGATGGCCAGAGACTGTAGACATGATACAAGAGATGGTCAGAGACTGCAGACATGATACAAGAGATGGTCAGAGACTGCAGACATGATACAAGAGATGGTCAGAGACTGCAGACATGATACAAGAGATGGTCAGAGACTGCAGACATGATACAAGAGATGGTCAGAGACTGCAGACATGATACAAGAGATGGTCAGAGACTGCAGACATGATACAAGAGATGGCCAGAGACTGTAGACATGATACAAGAGATGGTCAGAGACTGCGGACATGATACAAGAGATGGCCAGAGACTGTAGACATGATACAAGAGATGGTCAGAGACTGCAGACATGATACAAGAGATGGTCAGAGACTGCAGACATGATACAAGAGATGGTCAGAGACTGCAGACATGATACAAGAGATGGCCAGAGACTGTAGACATGATACAAGAGATGGTCAGAGACTGCGGACATGATACAAGAGATGGTCAGAGACTGTGAACATGTTATAGGAGTTGTTGGAGACTGGGGACATGCTTCAGGAGATAGACAGGGCGGGGACATGAGACTGCTAGAAATCACTACTATACCAGGACAATATAGAAACAGATATGTGTCTGCAGGGGCCCCAAGGGCTGCACAAAAAGTACCAAAGGGCCGCACATGGTCCCTGGGCTGCAGGTTGGGCACCAGGGTACAAAATTCTCAGGTGTGACTGTATTGTATCTTTAAACAATTCTTTACTCTTGCTTGATTCTTGATAGAATACAAACAGTTAATCTCACAATCATAGGTGGTTGAAGAACAGGTCTTAATTACTCCTCAGGGAAGTGGCTTCAGGTCCTGTTATGTGAGGACTGTATACTGTCCTTTTATTGTAGTTCAAAAATTGTCCTTTTTGTTTTTAGGAACCTTTATTCAATTTTCTAATTTAATGGAGTCAAATTGATGTTCATTTTGGGCCACTGTGACAAGAAAATTCAAAGAAACAGGATAGAAATTTTTTCTTGAAACAAATTAGCTTCTAACTGCGAATGTGATATTTGTTCAGGAAAGTCCATTCATTCCCAAATTGACTGTTAAAAGCAAATTACATTTTGAAGTACTTTCAACTGCATTTGTTAAGTCTTTGTTCGCATTTTCGAAAATACTGACGAGATTCTTCATACTTGTGTTCTTGTGAAAATCTACCAATGACCAGCTTAAAGGGTAAATTTATCTCTTTAAGGAATCTAAAAAGGTGAATTAATTCTAAAAAATTCCTGGCCACCCCTCCGGACCAACATCATGCTCTGTGCTGCTAGTGTAGCAGTCTGTACACCGTAATAGACAGCCCTGGAGAGAGTATCCATCATAATGCTCACAAGGGCAATCGCTCATGACTGTGGTGACCAATGAGAAATGCTTCTTTCTTCTTGGACACTTCAATGAAAGAAGAAGCTTCATATGCACTTCTCATTGGTCATCCTGGCTGCCTGGCTGGACCAACCAATGAACACTTGCAACAAGCACTATGATGGATACTCTCATTAGGACTGTGTATCCCAGTTTATGGTCCACTACATCATCAGCAAGGGGCATCATGGTCGCTATGTGTAGAGGGATCTGAAGAGGTGGCCAGGATATTTGGAGTTCTTTCACCTTTTCATGTGAAAAAGGGAACTTGCCCTTTAAGGTGCTGTCCTAAAAACCCAACTTAGGGCAAACAAGAAAATGTTTTCCCTTCAGTAGGGCTACACCCGCACTACATGGGTCAACTGCTTGTTTTGTCTTGGGGCGAGGAGAAAGCTTATACTTACCTTTGCTCCACCAGAAAACGGCACTCCCCTACGGTCTAGCAATGGACTGTTCCTGGTCTATGGAGCTTGCTCTGAGCTTAATAATGTCAGGAATGGTCCACAACTCAAGACCACTGGAGTGCAGGAGTGCCGAAGGATAAAAATATTTCCATTTCCCCTCCCCCAGACAAAAACGAGCAGGTAACCTATGCAGTGTGGGCACAACCCCACTGTATGGGAAAACTTTTTTTTTGCCCACAGTTGGGCATCCAATAAGAAGGTTGGTGTTGTAGCCCCATTCAACAGGTGGATGGGGAATTAAAGTGAAAACAGGATCAGGTGGTGCACATAAAATGCAAACAAAGAATAGTGAGAATTATGTTACAGGAGATTTTCCATTTGCATCCTCCATTATATTCAGAGTTCCCTATAGAATTAGATGTACTGGGCTCATTTAGATGGGTAAACAGCAAAGTTGCAGTAACCCATTACAACCAGAAGAACCTTCCCCTCCATGTTCCCTTTCCTCCAGTTCCACACATCAGCCATAACGTCTGTACACAGGTCCTGGCAAAGGAGCTCGGTGACTCAGCAGTTCAACAAACCACAAATTAGCTGCCAAGGAAGATCTAATTTCTTGCTCCTTTAGCAGAAGTTGGGGGTAATAAAACAAAAAAAAATAACAAGCTCTCCGGGTTACATTTACAAGCATTTCCTATAATTACATGATTCTCACAATGTAATTTTGGCTCTTGTTTATTTTTATCTGCCTTAGATTAACTTTGTCCAAGTGTTATGTCAGCACTATGAGGCTGGGAGTCCGACACTTGACAAGGCCAGGGTCATGTGACTGTTAGGAAGGAAAGAGGCGGTAGTGCTAGTAATAAACCTCATAGCGATAGGATAAAAGTAGACTTCATGGCCTGAAGTTGTTAAAGATGAACTTTATTTCAATGTGCTCCTCCTTCTCCCTTTCTACAATGATCAACATTTTTTTCTTTTTGGTATGGGGGGTCCTTTTTACGCAGAGTGGAGCCTGCAAATCTGAATTCTTGGCCTAGGCCAGACTGATGCCCCTCTGCCCGAAGCCTGCTAAGATACCTATGCCTTTAGGGCCCGCTGTGCATGTGCAGTAAGCATCATCGGGCCAGTTCCTAGGCCTCCTGTTGACACTACAAAGAAGATGGCGGCAGGGGACGCAGAGTGCAGCTGATTTTGATGATCACACCTTGACAGTGATGGGTTTTGCGGGGTGAGCGAGTATGCCAAAAGCAACTCAACCCACCATACCATGAGAGCCTATGAGTGACATCATCGCTCCCAGTTTTCATAGCCATTGTTGACAGCTCTCTCCATTCCCTTGCAGCCATCGTTGGCTGACATGGGGATCATGTGATCAGAATGGAGCGGGCTGAAAATAGATAAGTATATACATTCAACGGCCACTTTATTTATTTATTTACACCTGTTAAATTGCTTGGTAACACAAATTGATAAGCAGCCAATCACATGGCAGCAACTCAATGCATTTAGGCATGTAGATGTGGTGAAGACGAATTGCTAAAGTTCAAACCGAGCATCAGAATGGGGAAGAAAGGGGATTTAAGTGACTTTGAATGTGGCATGGTTGTTGGTGCCAGACGGGCTGGTCTGAGTATTTCAAAAAACTGCTGATCTACTGGGATCTTCAGGCACAACCATCTCTAGGGTTTACAGACAATGGTCCGAAAAAGAGAAAATATCCAGTGAGTGGCAGTTGTGTGAATGAAAATGCCTTGTTGATGTCAGAGATCAGAGGAGAATGGGCAGACTGGTTGCTGCGACATTCAGATGGTCGGGTCAGAATTTGGCATAAACAACATGAACAATTGGCTCCATCCTGCCTTGTATCAACGTTTCAGACTGTTGGTGTAATGGTGTGGGGGAGATTTTTTGGCACTAGCAATGTGTACCTAATAAAGTGGCCGGTGAGTGTATATCTTTTCTACACATGTTAGTATAGGTGTTAGGAGGGGGAAGGGAGCATTTTTAAGAATAGTATTTAGCCATACTATTAAGGTAAGGTAATACTATCTTACCTGCGTTACCCCAGGACAATCTTCTGACATTTCTTTCATACATGTAAAAATATGCATTTTCTTGGCTATAAAATTACTTAGAATCCTCAAACATTATATATTTTGAAAGCAGAGACCCTGTAGAATAAAATGGAGGTTGTTGAAATGTTTTATGGTGCACAATATTTGTGCAGTCACTTTTAAAACACACATTTTTTGCAAAAAATACACCTTAACCACATCACATATATACCGTATGTCAAAATTCAAATTTTTTGCTAGAAAATTACTTAGAACCTCCAAACATTATATATTTTTTGAAACCAGAGACCCTAGAGCATAAAAACGGTGGTTGTTGCAATATTTTATGTTGCACAATATTTGAGCACCCCTTTTTAAAAACGCTAATTTTTTTTTTAGGAAAAAAATACACTTTAAAGCGGAGCTCCACCCAAAAGGAGAAGTTCCGCTTTAAGCCTTTGTCCCCCGCTCCCCATTAAGGATTGGCACCATTGGGGAGCAGGTACCTGAATTTGACAGGTACTCGCTCCCACTTCTGCTGCGATTGCCTAGGACAGGGGTGGGCAACTGTGGAACTGCAGCTGTTGAAGAACTACAAGTCCCATGAGGCATTGCAAAACTGAAACAGTTACAAGCATGACTCCCAAAGGCAGAGGCATGATGGGACTTGTAGTTCACCAACAGCTGGAGGGAGGGCCACAGTTTCCCACCCCTGGCCTAGGAGATCCGAAGCGGAAGTTGTCCTCCCCCCCCTGTAGTCTTCTGGGATACGTGACAGGTTCCAGAGGACTACGGGACCATTCACAAAGTGCAGTGCTTCTCGCGCATGCGCAGTGGGCAGCCAGCTGTGAAGCCGCAAGTTGTCACAGCCGGGTGCCCACACTGAAGATGCCGGCGCCAGGGAGAGAAGACAGCCGGTGAAACCAGCCGTGGTGAGGACACCGCTGGACCGAGGGACTGTATTTTAAAAGTCAGCAGCTACAGTTTTTGTAGCTGCTGAATTTTATTAATTTTTTTTCCAGGTGGAACTCTGCTTTAATGAATGTATAGTGCACACAAACACAATATAATACCCAATTCCATTCTGTAGAAGTGATCCGCATTCTATACAAGTGATCAAGCGGCTGTATAGCTGCTTGGATCACTTCTACAAGTCCCAGCTGAAAATTTTGATAGGTGCAGGCATCATCCCAGTATAATTACTTCAACCTGAGGACATACGGATTTGAAATAGTTAAAAACAAAGTTATTTCCTAATCAACAGGCCCTCACCTGAGGTTTTACATTTCTTCTTTCTTTCCAGACTTTGCGGGAATTTGTCCTTGGACAAATATGG